GGGTACTCACAGTCCGTGTACTGCTGCAGCTGGGCGAACTCGGCGGGGCTGAGCGAGATCCACACGCCATCGCTCATCTTGGGCCCGCGGCGGGGGCCACCGGTGGCCGGTGCTGCCGTGCCAGGCTCGGTGCCAGCCGCTCGGTCACATCGTCACGGCCATGGCATCGTCCAGCAGAGCCCGTGGGCAGCACAACCTGGGGCTTGGGGCACCCGGTCAGCAGCGTCCTCCCTGGAGGGGCAGAGAGAGAGGAGGGGTCAGGGTCAGGGGAGGCAGAGGCTGGGTCCTGCTGCCACGGCTCCCTGGGGACAGTCACCTGCATTAGGGGGGTCTGTGGGGCAGGGGGTCTGTAAACTGGGGTGCCAGGGGGGGTTCCCAGTTGGGGAGGGTCCCACTGCAGATGTGGGGGATCTGTACTGCAGGGACAGGGTGAGCACAGGGCACCTCRCTGTGTGAGCATTGCCAGGGCTGGGTGTCCCTGGGGAAGCCACTCAGCCACCCACAACAGCCACAGCTCCCKGTGGCCACAGGGGGTGGCTGGCAGAGGTCAAGAAAACACCTCGGGCAGGGAAAGGAACTGGACACCCCCAACATTTTCGAGGGCAACCCTGCATGGGGAGCAGAGGGAAGGGTGCAATTATTTAAAGAAGATGCAACAACAGGAGGCAGGGAATCCAAGAGAGTAGAAACTTCCAGCTTACTCCTGCACCTTTGAAGGCAGTGCTTACGTCCAGGGAATAATTGAAAATGAAAATCTACAGCCAAAACTGGGCACAAGGGTAAAACCTGTGAGAAACCACAGAGAAACCCCAAAGGGCCCTCTCCAGCCCACCTGTTTATAGGCTTCAAACTTATCAGTTTTTCATTTAACAGAACTAGTCATCAGGCAAAGGGCCGCATTTGGAGGACGTGGTTGTTGTCCAAGGAGTTTGATCTCCATTTGAGGGCTGTTTCCCTGGCTCCCAGTTTCCACCAGCCTGAGCAGACAGACTGGAGAAAGCAGAGCAAGGATGAGCTGGGAAAGGTCACTTTCCCACTTGGGATGATGCTCGGGGAGCACCCCCATCCCCCAGCTGGCTGTACCTTTGATTAAAGTGAACAAGTGATTTTGGGGAGCTGTCGGGTCCCACACCAACCCCAGATGGAGTCCCTGAGGTGCACCAGGACACATTTACTGCAGTTAAACATCACAGCTCTCCTTAGTCCTGCCCCGAACTTTCCTCCCAGGAGAACAAATCACTGTGGTCTTGTTCCACCCCTCCATGCCCTGGGATTTCCTGGCTGTTCTTGAGGCTGCCTGGAGGTCTGGGGTGTTTGGAGACCCCAAAGGGCACTGCTCCTGCCCAGGGTGGCTGTGCCAGGATAGGGAGCAGTGCCCTCCCTGCCCTGCCCTGTGATAACACACAGTCCTGGGGAAAATCTCCCCTTCCCACCCTCCCTGGGGCCCTGCAGCCCCATGGCAACTCCCCCCAGCCCTGACTATCCCAACTCTTTGTCTCCATTCCACCAACTGGGACAGGCTGGGTGCAACAGAGGCAGGGCCTGGAAAGAACTACCCGGATCCTCCCACACCAGCACTGGTTTTGTGGGGATCTTCRTCTCGGTGAAAGCACAAGCAAGAACACGGTGTTTGCTCCTGTCCTGGATGATGGGTTTGACCCAAAGGATCTCAGAGGCTGGTCCAGAGGAGCTCGGTCTGTAAGAAATGCCCAGGAACGCACACAGACTCCATATTTCCTGGCAAACAAGCTGTGTGATTTGATCAGAACCTCTTTTTAATCCTAAACTTAACCGAGGAGTGGCTGAGAGCGCAGAACTAGCCAGAAGAAAAGGCAAAAGGGGCCTGGCTGGCTCCAGCTCCCCAGAGGAGTTCGGGGGCACTGAACCCTCCCAAAACAGAGGGCAGCCAAAATCTCCCTCGCTCCTTTTGATGGTGGGCGATGGGGCAGCACAAAGCACCAGGAGGAAAGCAAAGCAAAGCAGAGCTAATTGGGCCATCCCAAGGGGCTTTCCCCCAGCAATTGCTGGAATAACAAATGCCACTCCTGGCGCGTCAGCCTCGGATTTCAGGAAGGGCAGGAAAAAAAGCCTCCTCAGGAATCCAGCTGCTCCTCGTTTGGCCGCCCTCTGAATTGTCAGCGGCAAATTATGTTCTATTAAATCAAATTTGCCTCTCGCTAAAAATAGCTCCCCTACTAGTGTTACAAATAACACCGGATTACCCTGCCTGGAGGCGCTCACCGGGACACGGCCCCTCGCCCCCTCCTCGCTCCGTGCCTGCGGGGTGGGCACCAGTGTGGGCACCGGCGTGGGCACCGGCCTGGCGTGGAGTGGCCGGGGAGGATGGACAGGGGGGACAATGGAGCCTCTTGACCCCTCCTGGGGGAATAAGGGGAGCTCTGGGGAATGGAGCATCCTGMCGGCTCCAGCGATGGAGGAGGTGCTGGTGATGGAGCAAGCAGAGGAGCTGGCGATGGGAGCCAGGGCGCAGCCTTGTAGGGCCCGAAATGTGTCAGTGAGGGGATGGCAGGAGGGAGCCAGCCACGGGCCTGTCCCCAATGGTCAGTGCAGCCCGGACGAGCGGCAGGACTGAGCAGTGAGCAGTGGAACGTGTCAATGTCCCTAAGAAAGGGCCGTCCGGTGTCCAGGGATGGGGGACTCCCAGGAACAGCCCAGGATGGCAGAGGAGGTGTTTTTTCCAGCCAGACATCCCAATCCAGAGCCTCTTCACCAGCTCCAGCCGCTTCCATCCCACAGCAGAGCACTCTGGTGTCACCATGGCATTGGGGGGGCTTGTCCTTCTGCCACTTGCCCAGGACCATGGCTACTGATGGGGAATTAATTGTGCCCACGGTGGGCAGGGACCAGAGGCGATGGGCTGGCAGCTCCCGGGGCCGGYAGAGCCTCCAGCCCCCCATCAGTTTCACAGGAGGGCATGGATGGGGCTGCAGCACATGTCCCGCAGGAGATTTCTGCTTCCCATGCTCTTTGGGAAGGTAAAACACCTCTCCTTGAGCCGCAGGAGGCGGCAGGAGGAGGCAGCGCTGCTCAGGGAGCTCCTCACGCTCCTGCCGAGCACGCTGGCACACGTGCAGGGTGTGTGGCTCCCTGGCAGCACCGGGACAGGGCACGGCTCGATGCCGATGCCGGGCTCTTCCCTGCATCCCTGCCCGGGCCCGCAGGATGCCACAGTCACGCGCCACATCTCCTGGGGCAGAAGTGTGGCAGGTCCCTGCAGGAATGGCATTTTCCAGGCCTTCCCCCCCTCATCTTTTGGAAAGATCAGCCTATTTTTGTGTTGGATGGGGAGAGGCCCCTGAGGCTGTGGGTGGAGTATAAATCCCTCCTGTCCCACTGCAGCAAACAAACCCCAACCAAGTCACGCTCAAACTATTTTCTGCAGCGACAGGAGAAGGCGCTTTTCTGCGTTTTGCCAGCCCAAGAGGGCGTTCAGGATTGGCTTTTTCCATTCTCCAAACCTGTTGCTGTCAACACATTGCCCTGACCCTTTGACCACCCACCCACACAGAGCAAGGCACGCCGTCCAGGTACCTGACACCAACTCTGCTTTGGGCACTCTCGTGGCACCAGGGCGGTAAAAGGGGCTGGCAGAGGTGCCCAGAGGTGACACAGGGGTGGCCAAACCCAGCCCTCCGGCCCCGGGGCTGGGCTGTGCTTGTACCCACTCCCAGCTGGGTGCAGGGAGAGCTCGGCTCAGCCTTGCTCAGCGGGACCCAGCGCAGATCCCTCGGACCTCGCCCACCCGCCAGGGCCGGCACAGCTTCGCTCACACCCCAGGGACACCAACAACTTCCTGATTCACTACTGCTGCGTTTTTAGAGAATTATTMTGAGTTCAGAGCAGACTGGATCTGAGCTAGGATGCCTTCAGAGCAAGACCCTTCCCTTGCCATSGCCCCTGCAGGTCCTTCTCAGTCCAGAAAAGCCCCTTCCCACAGCAGACAGGGAAGCAAACGCTGGCCCTGCAGCCTGAGGGCTGGGATCCTCCCCGGGATTCCAGCTCCACCACCTTGCCACACAAGCCCAGGACTTGAGGACACCTACAAACCWGGCAGACGGAAGCCCTGGCTCTGTCCCTGCGGCCGTGAGTCCCACGGGTTAACCACACCTTGTGTGGGATAACGCTGCTTCCCGATTGCTTTGAAACACGCTCTTCCCTTTCATCCCCCAGCACAACCTGCAGAACAAGTCACACCCAGCTCCTTCCCCAGGCCAGCCACGCCGAGCACCTCCTCAGCCCTCCTGCCCTCCAAAGCCAACGGCCCCGGCAATCTTTGCTTRACGAGAAAGGCACTGACGAGCTTTACCGGCCGGGCAGCACACAGGAACAGCTGGATTGGGCTGTTCTTCTGCCCAGCCAAAGGACGGGTGCTTTTATGGCCAGGCTGAGAACCGACACATGCTGAGACACCAGTGAAGGTGCTGGAGCCCCCCGRGCTGCTTTAGGGGCTCGCTGGTTGCCATCCTCCTCACCCCGGGGACAAGGGTWCGCTGCCCTCTCCTTCTCCACCCTTCGGGAGCCTTTCCTCAGGAGCGGAGCCACCCGCCCGGGATCCCCGATTGCCCAAGCCCAGCGCTGCCCCGCCGCTCGGGAAGGGGGAAGGGTCGGGGCTCCGAGGGCAGCGGACGGGGATCGACGGGCGCTGTCGAGCCGGTCCCGCCTGGGGTGGGGGTCCCGCGTGGATCGGGGGGTTTGCCCAGGGCCGAAAGGGGTGAGCCCCCGTCCCCCCGCGTCCCCCCGCCGCTGTCCCCTTACTTGGCGGCGGCAGCGCGGTGCCATCGGCGGGACGGGCCGGGGCGCTCCGGCGGTGGTGGCTCGGCGGCTGGCGATGCCTGGCAGCGCTGGGCAGCCCGGCGGCGGGGCGGGGATGGGGGGATGCGAACGGGCCCGGCCCGCCCCGCCGCTCCGCTCCGCTCCGCCCGCCTCCGCCGGCACCGGGCGGCCGGGCGGGGGGGGAGGAGGAGGACGAGGAGGAGGAGGAGGAGTTGGAGGGAAGAGCCCGGCGGCCCCGACCGCGCCCCCGCCCTCCCCGGGCCCGGGGCAGCTCCGGGGAGCACCGTGTCGGGAGCCGCCGGCTGCGGGGGCGGCGGGAGCGCCGTTTCCACGAGAAAACTCATTTGCGATGAATTTCCACCTCCCCACCGCGGCAGGGTTTTCCTCGCTTCCCGCTGAGCACGCACACTGCCCCTCAGCCCCGACGCTCCCCGTCCCCATCCCCTGCCCTGTCCTTGTCCCCGTGCCTATCTCCATCCCCATCCTAACCCCATCCTCGTCCCCACCCCTGCCCCATCCCCTTCTTCATTCTCGTTCTTGTCCCAATCCCCTTTCATGCCCCTATCCCTTTCCTCATCCATATCTTCATCCCATGCTTGTCCCCGTCCCTGTCCCCGTCTCTGTCCCCATCCCAGTCCCCATTTCCCTCTCTCCCCTTCCCCCCCATCCCCCTGCCCCTCGTCTCTCACTTTCCAACAGTTTCACGCATGGCAAAGGTTGCTCTTTCCTCAGAAACAGAAYAAACCGCCGAACACAAACAAACAAAAAATGCCAAAACAGATAAAAAGCATTTTTATTTTCTTTCCATGACGCGTCTGCCTGCCTGCTCGGGAGTGACACTATTTCAGGCATGTCTATTATTTATGTTTCGCTATATTTATATTAATTAGAGACGCCATCCACGTACGTAGCTCTCCAACTTCAAAAAAAGCAGGAGAAGGGGACTGACAKCTGGGACTGAACTTTCTTGAGAGAAACAGGAGCAGGTTCCTCAGCCAGAGCTGTTCACTRTGTGCCAGTCACAGATGAGGTTCCTGCTCTACATGGGGATCTCTCCAGTCTCATCCCCRCTTTCCCTCCCTCCCTCCTGGCTGGGACCCCAGAGAGATGGGTTGGGGCTCCTGGCTGGGATGCTGGGAATGACAGAGTCCCCAGATCTGTGCCAGTTTTAGGGGAGATAGAATCATGGAATCATTTAGGTGGGAAAAGGCCTCTGAGATTGAAGGTGGCACTTGTCATCTGTGACTGGGAACGAGGAGAACCCCCTCAATGAGCTGACTGGTCTCTTCTGATGGGCTGTGCYGAAGTGCAGGGCAGTCTCACATTCTGGAACAGTGGGAAGAAGACCCTGAGCTCCCTGCTCCCACCCATGCCAGCACCTCCCTCTGTAACCTGTGTCAACACTGAGCCACAGCAGGTGACATCTCCTCTCCCCTRAGAACAGTGTCCCAGCCCTGTCCTCATCCTGTCTGGCTTAATTCAACATCCCAGGCATGGGGACTGGGCTGGGGACCAGGATGAGGRTGGAGAAGCGGGGCCTGAGAGCAGTGCAGGGCTGATGGGATTTGGGGAAAGCCCAGAGAGAAATTTATAATAAATGAGTTTTATCATTTATTATCAACTGTTGCAGGGAGGCAACAGTTTGCCAGACACATGGTGAGAGGAGGAGGAGGAGGAGGAGGATGAAGAAATCTCCTGGCCAGACACCTGCTGCTGTCTGCGTCCAGGGTGCCAGGGCACGTGGTCTGGGGGCTGGGCAGGAGGAGACCTGGCCAGAGCTGGTGAAATCCCCCCTGCAGGGGCTCAGAGCCCTTTTCCCAAAAGAAAACTTGCACCAGTGGACTCCTTGCCCAGCTCAGGGCTGATCCCAGCCTGCGTGGGAGCAGCTCACTCAGGATGCATTATCACCTCCTGCAATAATTTCCAGCCAGCAGCAGTCTCCCAGGGCTTTCCAGACATCCAGGAGCTCCCACAGGTTTYCCAGCCATTGGAATAACCCTGCAGGAGTGGGGCAGGAATATTTTTTCCAGGCAGAGTGGGAGCTTGACCATGAGAAGCTGCTGGCCTGGTGAGATGTGGACTCCTTCGCTCTGCCCTGACTTTGCTAACGCTCTGCCAGGGCTATCGGTGAAATTCTCTGCACTCCCAGATGAGAGAATTTAATTCTTTCCCTGCATCCAAGTAAGTATCCCTTCCAGGGATTAATTAGTAAATTAAAAGGGTAGAAAGGCTAAATTATCCTTATGAGGCACAAGCCCTGTGATGATGTGTCTCTCTTGCAGGTCTGCGTGCTGTGTCCTGACACACTCCCGGTCCAAAAGGGGCTGCAGCTGCAGGTTCATCCCCAGATTCATTCCTTTAGTGGGACTCTGGGGGCAGCTGGGGGAGGGTGAGAGATCCACTGATTCAGAGTCTGGAAGCCCTGAGGGAGGAGGAGGAGGAGGAGGATCCCTGTGCTGGGGTGGCGGTGTCCCCGGGCCAGGGGTGCTGGCAGGAGCTCTGAAGCCTCTGAGTGCTGCCCCCACACACACAGGAGGAAAAGCCCAGTTTGGAGAAGCAGGAAGGACATGGGATGATATTCTGGGGATTTGTAATGCCTTCCCAGTCCCTACCAGCTTCTCAACTCTCCCTGCTGTGCCAGTGGCTCCCTGGGGTGACCAACCACCCCCCAAACACCCCAGAGCTGTGCCCGCAGGTGTCCCTTGGCACAGCCCCCCTGCCAAACCCCTGTCAGAGCCTCACTCTCCAGAGGAAGGTAAGGGAAGGGTTAACTAGAGCTGCAGCCCCATTTTCTATCCCTGTCCAAAAAAGCCATTACATTTTGCCTGGCAAAAATTGTTCTGCTTAAGCCTGAGTCACTTATGATTCCTCGTTCTGACGCTCTGTGGTTTCTCCTTTTTCACTGGTTGCCCTGGCACAGCCCAAACGCTGCAGGGAGCAGCAGAAAAGGGGCTGAACCCCCCTCCCTGCCCACYCTGGGCACGCAGGGTCCCAGGAGATCTGCTCTGCCAAGGATGGGCGCTGATCCAGCCCCATTTTGGGGGCACTCCAAGGGAAGGAGATGCTTTTTTTTTTTAACACGATAAGAAAAAAAAGAGGTGAAAAATGTCTTTTTATCACCTGGGCAGATTTGTGAGATTTTTATCAGCTCTCTTCTTGCTTTAACTCTGGTTCATTTTCTCTCGAAATGTTGGCCCAAGGCAACGCCAAGGCTGGCTGCTGACTCAGTTGTAGCACTGCTTCCCCTCCTGGGCTCTGTGACGTAGGAGAGAAGGAATCCCAGGCAATTATAACTTGATTATTTTACTGAACGTGTGATTACAAATGGGAGCTGCAGAGCAACGAGCACTGCAGTCAAGATAAAATTAAAATGAGCCCAGGCTCCCCTGTTYCCAGTTCTTGCTCCAAAAACAAACAGCTGCTTGGGAAGCCCTTCACAGCCCAGTTATTTCCAGTGACCGCAGGAAAGGTGATAAAAACCCCATAAAACCACAAGAAATTTCCAGGATGATTTTTTTTGTGGAGTTCTGCTCAGTGTGGTTCTGCTCCCTGGGAGAGGGATGAGCTCATGGGTGGTTGCCAGTGTTATATTAAGTCTCGRTGAGCCTGGAGAGAGGTAGATTAGGTTGGAAATTAGAAAACGCTGCAGGGAGGGGATGTCCCCAGAGAGGGACTCGACTGAAGAGCCGGGAGATGCCAACGTGGCTGACCTGGCCCCTTCCCAGCTGCCAGCTGTGGTGATATTGGTTCCTGGGCATCGTGCTGGGCTCCTGCTCCCAGTGAGACGAGCTGGTGGCAGGGCAGGACAGTCACCTGCCCTTTAGATTATCCCAAAGAACTTGGTGCCACCCCAGCAAGCATTTCCCAAGATTTGGGGCGCTGAGCATCTGAGGGCAAACACAGCTTGGCTGCTCCCTGCCCCTGCATCTGCACAGCAGCCTGTGTGGCTGTCCCCCGGAGCAGGGTTTTCAGGCAGGGTGACTCCCTGGAGGGTGAAATGTTTCTGGTTTGGGGAGCCGTGGGGCTGAGGGCTGCAGCAGCGTGGTCGGAGGGAACAGGCGCTGCGTGGCTCCTGCCCAAACCCAGCTCCAACCACAGAGCCAGCCTGCTGTCAGGGAAAGATGGGGTGAGTCAGGCATTCAGGGAAAGCAGCATCTTCCCGAGGCTGGAGGAGAAATCCACGCTGTGAGCACAGAGCCTCGAGAGCCACTGGTTTACCTCTGAGCCCAGGAGCTCAGAACAGGCTGGGGAAACGCGGGAGGGAGGGAGCTGAGAGGCTGAGAAYGGTGTGATGGGGCCAGTCAGAGCTCCTGAAATTTTGTCCCTGCCCTATTTCCCCTCAAGGGACCTTGAGCGGGTAGAAGGTGATCACAGAATTACAGAATCGTTGAATGGTTTGGGTTTGAGAGACCTTAAAAGTCACCCAGTTCCAACTTCTCATCCCCACAGGTGGAGACACCAATCCAGGCTGCTCCAAACGCCATCCAGCCTGGTCTGAAACCCTTCCAGGAGGGATGTGGAGCATCCACATCTTCTCCTGGTAACCTGTGCCAGGGCCTCACCATCCCCACAGGGAAGAATTGCTTCTCCAAATTCAGTCTAACCCTGCCCTCTGTCAGTGCAAAGCCATTCTGCCTTGTCCTATCACCCAGCCCTTGTCTGAAGTCTCTTTCCAGCTCTCTCAGAGACCCTTTAGGCACTGAAAAGCCACAACAARGTCTCACTGRAGCCTTCTCTTCCTCAGACTGAACAATCCTCAGCCCTTCCTCAGAAGAGAGTGATTTCACCCCTCCAATTAACTCTGTGGCCTCTCCTGTACTTGAGGAGGAGCACGGTGACAATGCAACAGCTCAGAACAGTGATGRTGTCACAGCATCACCACATCAGAGCCCATTGGCAGAGAGCACCAGGCTCTTTTAGCCTAATGAAAAAAAAAAATATCCCAAATTTAACAAAATATRTGGAAAACCTCCTCTTGTGCAGAGATACTGAGGTACCATCTGCAACCTCRAGCATCCGGTGCTGTGGGTGACACCTCATGGGGGCAGCTGGGTGTAGACTCCACCACGAAGAAGGGAGATGGGAGGAGGAGGGCAGGGGAAGAGCATGGAGCAAATTTGGGGTTCAGGAATTCA